TTATTACGCAACAGCTAAACTACATCCACTAATTAATTATGTATACTTTTTCTATATAAATGATAGTAACGAATATTCTTATCATTAAATCCCCTGAAGAGTGAAGCAATTCACGAAACAGGCTTGTCGGGAATAATGTTGTCTTGACTTTTTCTTCTCAAACAAATATATATATATATATATATATATAATCAACTCTGAAGCCCATCTAAGTGTTGAACACAACTTCCAAAAAGGACATTTTCGTTGTCAACAAGACCCAAAAAGTATTTTCTGCGATATCTATTGATCAAGTTCATTAACAAAATGACAAACTAGTCAAAGGAGATGGCAAAGCACATGAGATACACAAAGCACGCATCTCATCCAAACAAAAGGCGATGGTGCACGTTGACGTGACTGAACGTAGCGCACGCTCATGTAATGGAGATTTCTTTATTTTTTATCTTTTTTTGATTTGCTATGTTATAAAAGCATTTGTCATCGATTAGCGTGCTTCCATCGAGTTGCTAAGCACAAACGAAGGAAGCGTAAGAGGCGCACGAGGCGTGGTCGAGACCAACAACCAATCCTTTGATCGATATTTATTRAAGAAACAGGAAAGCGCGCTTGCAGTGTGCAGTTATGAAGCACGCAGGGATTGCCATAACACGACAGAAGTGTTGATAAGCAACAATGCTTATCTACACTTAAAATATCGTAGAAAATGGTACTATGCTTTAACTTGTTCAAATGCCGAGTCGGACGGCACACCGAGGCAAACCGAAACATGTCATCATTATTAACATYGATCGATTGATACATACCCCAGATTTCACCTTGTCTGTGGTTAGCTAGGCAATGCAACTTTATTCGCCGGGCAAGTAGTTTCTGATCCCTTGAAGCTGCAATGAAAGCTGCTTGAGCGGGTTTAGTCGATAAGTACTCGTGTATCTTGCAGGCTGAAGCCACAGCTACGGTGCTACCTATCATGAGCCACAACCTGAAGCGGTAAGGCAATACTTTATTTTATTTTTCGAAAGGGAATTGTCGTACACCGTTCAAGGGCGCTAGCCGGGACAGACGGATTGGTTTGCAGTTCTTTAGGTGATTCTTAGACGGGACATAAAGTTTTAAGCCTGGTTTAAACTATCGTAGGAATCTAAAGCAACATGACGCAGACTCAGTATTGCAATTATAACCTAGTTTAAAAAAAGACAAGCACTGTTAAT